AAAAGGCCGAGGATTACCGCTGCCATGGACGTATGCGTTATCGACACGGGCGTTGACATGGATTTAGGCAACATCGGGAAGAGAAACCGAAAACTGTGTAGGGCATTGCTCGAAGAGTTTCAAGATTGCGTATCATCGTCAACGCGAGACCTCGGTAAGACAAACATCATTACGATGGAGATCAAGTGCATCACGGATCAACCGATCGCGTATCGCCCGTACCGTCTCGCGGAGCCGGAAAAGATCGTCGTCCGCGATCTCGTAAAAGACTTACTAGATAACGGGATAATTCGGGAGTCTGATTCTCCGTACGCGAGTCCGATCACGCTCGTCAAGAAGAAGACCGGAGACTATAGGATATGCGTGGACTATCGGAAGTTAAACGCAATAACTGTCAAGGATAAATATCCGTTGCCACTGATCGACGACCAAATCGATAGGCTCGGGGGACACCGATATTTTACCGGCCTCGATTTAGTGTCGGGATACTATCAAGTTTCAGTCGCGGAGGACTCCATCGCGAAAACGGCGTTCGTCACTCCGAAGGGGCATTACGAACTTTTAAGAATGCCTTTTGGATTGACGAATGCGCCAGCTGTCTTCCAAAGGTTGATGCGAAAAGTTCTTCAGACCCTGAAGAAGACAACGACCCTCCCATACATAGACGACATAATAATGCCGTCGAAAACAATAGAAGAAGGCATGGACGGTCTACGGGAAGTTTTGGAGGCCCTTCGAACGCACGGTCTAACGCTTAGGTTAGAAAAGTGTTCCTTTTTCAAGGAAAACATAGAATACCTGGGCCGTGAGATCAGCGAACAAGGGGTAAGACCAGGCCAACGAAAAATAAATGCCGCTCAGGAAATGCCAGCACCAGAAAACGTGAAGCAGGTACGCCAATTCCTAGGACTCGCAAGTTATTTCAGGAAGTTCATCGAAAACTTCGCAGCCCTCGTAGAGCCATTAACGCGCCTCACGCGGAAGACGGCAATGGGGGCTGAACAAAAGCACGCCTTCTCTCAGGTAAAGGAAAGGTTGGTGAATCGACCGGTATTACGCATCTTCGACCCGAGTGCATACGGATGCGAGTTCGATCAGCGTTGGTGCAATGCTATTGCAAAAACAGGAGAACGGAAATATGGCGGTGATCGCATATTTCAGCAAACAAACGACGGTGGACCAGAGGTGCTACCATTCGTACGAGTTAGAGACAATGGCTGTTGTGTTCGCGTTACGACATTTCAGAGTCTACCTGCTGGGGCTGGAATTCAAAGTGGTGACCGATTGCAACGCACTAAGAACAACCTTTTCAAAGAAGGATCTATTACCGCGCATCGGTCGATGGTGGTTAGAAGTCCAGGAGTTCACCTTCGAAATCGTGTATCGGCCAGGTACGCGAATGGCGCACGTGGATGCCCTGAGCCGGAACCCTCAACCGACCGTTCTCGAGATCGCTTATGTGGATGTCACGGAGGCCGAGTGGATTGTTGCAGCTCAGATGCAGGACGAGCAGTTGGCCCGCATCAGAATGATATTAGCCGAACAGAGGGAATCGCCGGAAACGCAGCAGTATTTCAAGGAATACGTATTGAAGAAGGAGAAATTGCATCGCCGTTTACCGGGTAACAAGACGGCTTGGGTTGTACCACAGGCAGCAAGATTACAGATCTGTAGGTTGTGCCACGACGACGCTGGACATTCGAGTGCGGAGAAGACGCTACAGAGGATGCAGCGAAATTATTGGTTCGCTGGTATGCGACGGTTTGTAGATAAATATGTCAAGGCATGTTTAAGCTGCGCATACTATAAGCATACCGCAGGGAAGAAACAGGGTAAGCTGAATCCCATAGAGAAGGTACCAGTTCCATTCCATACGGTACACATCGACCACGTGGGACCGTTCGAGACAAGTCGAAAAGGGAATAAGTACCTGCTCGTGATGGTAGACGCATTCACGAAGTTTACAATCATTGAACCGGTAAAGGACCAGAAGACCCGTCACACCGAAAAGGTACTCCTCAACGTTATGTATCTGTTCGGTGTGCCGACCAGGATAATTAGTGACCGCGGGACCAGTTTTACGTCGCGAAGATTCACGTTGCTGTGTCAGACGTACGGTATCAAACACGTATTGAATGCAGTGGCCACTCCAAGGGCGAACGGACAGTGTGAGCGCTACAATAAGACCATCGTGGACGCTCTGGCCACTAGTGCAGTGGGTCAAGACGCACGAGACTGGGACACGCAGGTAAAGAGGGTGCAGAGTGCCATAAACACCATGCACAATAAGAGCATCGGTACGACACCGATGAAGGCACTGATCGGCTGCGGAACGAAGACGGTAGCCGAGGGACCGATATTAAGCGCTGTACGCGAGGAAATAGACCGACTGGACTTGACCGCGTTAAGAGAGGACATCAGCCGGTACATTTCTGAGGAACAGAGAGCGCAGAAGGAACGGTACGACCGTACGCGGAAGGAAGCCCGCAGGTATACCAAGGACGAGCTAGTACTCGTACAGGTGACCAGCGAGCCCGCGACGGGGGGTAGTCGGAAATTGCTACCAAAATTTAAAGGACCATTTCGTATTCGGGCGGTGTTACCGAATGACCGTTACGAAGTGGAGGATTTAAGGGAAGGGTCAAAGCGACTAGGAACAGTCGTTGCGGCCGACAAGATCAAGCCGTGGATCTCTATACAAGGAGATGATCAATAATATTGGTCTCACGAATGGGGAAAGGAACGGTAGTTAATTTCCATGTAGGATATCCTTAATTATATATTTATTTCCAGGGGACTTTGGTACGAAACGATAACCAATAAAAACGATTATAGCTAATTTAATACTAATTGGTTATGTCCACAGAAAATAAAGGAAAAGCCGAGAGCATAAGGCTTAGGCTGGCAATAGAAAGGGGCGTTCACACGACGACGAGGCGAAGTTCATAAGAGGGAGGCAACGGCCTCCACATCGAATAACGATGATAATGGTCAACCACTGTGGTCCCAACGGGGGCTGCACAGTAAAGGAGGGACGCAACGAGCGTCGTGACACGAGGTGTCACAGCTGCTGACCATGGGGTACAGAGGTACCCTGGACTACGGGATCCGATAGATGCAACGGCATTCTATCGAAGTTGGCATTAAACCAGACGGACACAAAGAGTGTCTCAGGCAGGTAGATGTCAAGCTAGAGGAATTAACATCAAACCAGACGGACACAACGTGTGTCTCAGGCAGGGCGATGTTAAACTAGCAAAGTTAACACCAAACCAGACGGGCACAACGTATGTCTTAGGCAGGGCGGTGACGGACGAATGGGGCAAGATGCCTCTCGATTGGCAAGGGATACAACGGTATCCGCAGCTGATTGCAGGCAATACGACGGTATTGTGCTGCGACAGACTTCATCACTCATCCGAGCTTACAGGAACAGGAATAGTCACGCCCAACAATCTCGATGTAAAGTCTGAGGACAGACCCCACGTCAGTATGGCCGAATGTTAGAAATTTTAAAAAGATACAACTGTTAGAGCGGACCGTGCGCACCTCGGCAACGGTATTTCACGGTTAGTACGTCACGGGTTTTTCCTGTAAGGACAAAGCGTCATAAACTCGGTAGGAAAAGGGCCATGGTGACGTAGGCGTCCTCACGGCTAACGTTTTGGCTACAAGTCACTCTTGCCTTGATCGTGGACGTGTCCACATCATCGATTAAAATTAACGTACAAGCCTTATTACGAACTCCGAGTTCCAGTGTTACTTTAATACGCCCACATTGTGCAATACGAACCTATTCCTTGCATTCTCGTAATTTTCTTACAAATGTAATATACATTTAATAACAATGTCATTATTACTATATCTACATGAGATACAATGTATTATATATTTAACAACAGTATAATTGTTACTTTATCTACATGATATATAATGTAATATGCATTTAATAACACTTATTCTATATTTAGCTCTTTCAAATAATACAAATTAGTCTTCCTTGGGACGATTGCCGTTGGAACTACGCACTAGAAATGTATTGAAATTCGAAACCGTTTAAGGTCAAAGAGAGGTATCATAATCATCCTTCGCCGCGCGGTTAAGCAGTGCGACGCACATGGAGGTATCCCAGCTTAACTGCGCAGAATAAGTGAAAATGCGATTTTTGCCTACTTTACGAGCGGGTACCTCTCATACCTGTAGAACATGCGTCAGCCGTTCCTTCCACGGAAGAATGAATGCAATAAAGAATGAAAGCGATTCGATCTGAACGATATGAAGCGGTTTGAATGGGAATAGAAAGCGAGGTTTGCGTGACAACCACTGCGATTTTGAAAACGTCGACCAACGTTCAAGAACGTTCGAGACAATGGTCGACAGGGATCATAAACACGTGTTGTCGAGAATAGGCAACAAAAACTGCCAAGCGTTATAGGAAATATTTTGAAACAATTAATATATATTCAATACGCGTGAATCTTCGTTAAAAAAGCGACTGTGATCCTCCTATAATTTATTGAAAGTAAAACACCGTATCCCTTGTCACGAAAACTGGAAAATGCGTGTAATATGCGTGGAAAACTGTAAAATAACGAACATCGGTTATGAAATACTTCGAACGAACAAAAACTAAATAAAATGTTTGTCGACACCAGGGTTACGCTTGTAGAAGGTTCATTAATTAATCTGGAAAATGAATAAATTCAAATAGAGGCCATTGCGAAGATTCCAGAAAAGTATGGGAATTGCGACGCATAGAATTCGTGTAGCGCTGTAGGGGTAAAAGAAAGAAAGTCGACGTTAGACAGAGTCGGAACGAAAGTGAAGGAGGGATGAGAACTTGGGAAACGCGCCTAGTCAAAACCAATGCGTGCGGGCTTTCCCCTTCGACACGTACCCTGATTTGCCAAATGATGTCCCCACTTTGGGCCCTTGATCGCGGGTCGAACCCTGAGACACGATCGCTTGACTGACGCAAATCACTCTTCGTCGAAAAATCGTAAGGTACGTGACGGGAAGCCCGTGTTCGCGTAGAGACATAGTTGTTAATAAAATCGTGTAATTAGATTGCTCGGCAAAGTCCTCATCAAGGCAGAGTGTCGAGAGTGTTTCGGTTCGCGGTTTTGTGACAAAGACTCATACGAATACGTTAAAATCATTCCACACTTTTCAATTTCTATCTTTTTCTTTCATTTTTATTTCGTTCGCAAATTAATTATATTCTTTTTCCGCGTCGCGATGTTTTCGTATTAGTTTCTAATTGTATCTCGTTTCCGTAATAACCAAGGCTCAAACGCGATCGCGTAGTGCGCGTGCAAAAAGTTCTCATCTCTTCTTCGCCTTCCAGATTTCTAGACCACAACCACCACAGCTTTTCGTATACGATCCATTGCAAATATCATATTTAAAATACACTACATCGAATTGGTGAGTTGCACAATCTATACTTTAACACAGCGAATCTGGTGTCGAGTGAGGCAAAACGGCGATCTAAGAGACTGCTAGTCGGGGAAGTATCCCACTAGATCGTTCCGTTCCACATTTTCGAGGTATCTAAAAGATTTCTTAATTAACTAAAATTTCCCGAATACGCGCAAACGAAGACGGCCCACGAGACAGTTTGTCTTGGAAGTATCCAACTGGGACCGTCTCTTCGTTTTTTTTTTTATTGTTTTTGATCACTCTCGAATCATCGTAAAACAAACACCGTAGTTCGAATCATCATTATTGCAAAGTAATTCTATTATTTTCCTGTCAATTTCTCGTTAAAGTTCATTACATATAAATTTCACATATCTTTTCTAATTTAATAACCGTTCTAACATATACTAATTTCTTTTTCCATATATTTCATAGAGCTCGAACGTTTTGTTAATTAAATCATTTTGTTGTAATTATTTTTCCGAAATTATACACATGTTACCCATATTTGATTTCTAATAATTTGCGTTCAAACACCCTTCTCATTTTCCTTTATTAACATGCCTAACTTCTTGCACGAATTCACACGAGGGGCCCGTATGGGACCAGAGCATTGACGAACTCAGACAATCCAGAATCTTAATTCGGCTTAACTTGATTTAATTCTTTTTGACTAATTTGATTCTTTTTAAATTGTCCTAATCGTGGTTGACCCAACATCGTCAAATACGATTAGAACTGGTGGCAGCGCTAATACCGTTTCAACCGCGTATTAACACCAATTAATCAAACCAAACATTCACATTACGTTTTCGTTTTTTTTTATTTTGTATGTCGCGCGCGCGCCGTATCGCTCGCTCGCGACGTAACAATACGATCCACATGGCTACCAAAGACAGAAAAAGTTTCAGTAAACGATTGCCCCATGAGAACAAATAACATAACAGAATGTTATAATAATATTGTTTTATTGAAAATGGGAAAAGGCAAAAAGAACATATGGGTATTTTTGGGTAATGCTTTTGTTATTTTTATTTTGTTTGTTTCTTATCATTTTTGTATAAACGAAATGAAAAAATGATTTCTCAAACCTTACAGAAAAACTAGAACAACTAATAATGGATGAAGAAATTAAAATAAAAAGATTAAATGAAGGACAATGTGTATGTCGTAAAAGCAACAAAAAGACTATAATAAGAAATAAAAGGATTGAAACAATACAGAAAGATCTTGCTAATAGAAGGTTAGTTCCTGCATCAACTGTTATAAATACTTAGGTTTCTTAAACTACATATAATTGTTTTCATGATACTTATTACTGTATAATTGTAATGTTCTAAAAAATATTTAAATTTAGAAAATACAAATTAGACTTTAATGTAAAATAATATGCATATACTGCTTTTTAGGTTAACTCTGACAGAATCTTTATTATCGTTTTATAAAGGGAATAAGATATTGATATATGGAGATTATGAAGGTAAAGTATGAAAGTTATTGCTACTGCAGAAAAGTACTTGAGTATATCTCGAAATGTTAATAATCTAATCACGCGGAACCGACTGAAACTGTGCATAATGGAGGTTCTCACGAAAAGTAGAAGCGATTTTTGTCATTATTTGTTGAAGATGTAAAATTTTCAGCACTTTAATTATATGTATATTGTAACGTGGTGACACCCGTGCCCCCCCCCCCCCCCCCCGTTACAATCGCTGCGCTTTCCCCACGTTACACTTCCACCTCAAAACCACCCGTAACCCTTCCCTCACCTAACCCTTTCCCCCTACGCACCGATGTCGGGCCGATGGAGGCGACAGAAGACCTACCGGGAACACCCGCAGAAGGAGCTACGAGGCCGGCGACAGACCCCTAACCCGTCCTCCAAGGAAACGGAGCAACGTGGGACTCCGAAGAAATAGACGAAGCTGCCCAGATAATGCAAAACGTCCACCCGGAGCCATCTGTCGCCGAGCCCGAAGACCTCAGCCCACCCGTCATCGCGGGATATCCGCCGGCCCCATCGACCCCGAGCACCGGTGTATCGAAGATCGATAATCGATCTATCCCGTTGCCGGAAGAGGCCCCCTTCCTAGTCCCATCCCCTCCCCAAACCATCCCGCGACGGTTTCGTCGTCGCAGCAGCGACGGCGAACCGTCATTGAGCCCGAGGCTAAGCGATAGAAAAGTACAGAGAGGATAGAGCGAGAATAGTGAGCGACGAGTGAAAGAGTGAGGAAAGTTTGGGTGAGTCCCTTGAAGTATTAATTGTAAAGCGAGATCGAGGCAACGGCCACCTTCGCCCGCGCACTTTCGTGTCCGCGTATTGCCGCGAATTCTAGAGATTTTCACGTTTTGCGAAACCCGTGTCCAACCCCTATTATCCCCCTCCCCCCCCCCCCCCCCCCCCCCCCCCCACCCTTGTAGTAATCATTCTACGCGTAACGTACGAACCTCCTGGGAACCCGTCCTAACCCTGAGATCTCCTCTCCCCAACAATCCTCCCTGCGTACTCCCCCGCGAAGTATTGTAAGGGCGTAAGTGTCCCAAGGCCCATCCCCTGTGAGACACCCACGATTACCCCTTTTCCCTTTCGATTTCGAACCGCCACGAGACGTGGCTGGCGCCAAACGTTTGCGATAAAGTATTGTGAAGTAAAGTTGCGAATAGAATTCTGTATAGAGTGAACCCCCGAAAAGGGTCACAATATGTACATGAGATGTAATGTACAATAATATACATTTAATAAGAATATCATTAATAGCATATCTACATTAGATATGTGATATGTATTTAATAACAATATAACTGTTACTATATCTACATCAGATATGTAATATACATTTAATAACAATGTCATTATTACTATATCTACATGAGATATAATGTACTATACATTTAATAAGAATATCATTATTTGCATATCTACATTAGACATGTTATATACATTTAATAAGAATATCACTGTTACTATATCTACATCAGATATGTAATATCCATTTAATAACAATGTCATTATTACGATATCTACATGAGATATAATGTAATATACATTTAACAACAATGTCATTGCTATATGTGCATGAGATATAATGTAATATACACTTAATAACAATGTCATTATTACTATATCTACATGAGGTGTAATGTACAATAATATACATTTAATAAGAATATCATTAATGGCATGTCTACATTAGATATGTGATATGTATTTAATAACAATATAACTGTTACTATATCTACATCAGATATGTAATATACATTTAATAACAATATCATTATTGGGGGGTCACGTGACGATAGCTATAGAGGCAGTATGTGTCGGAGAGAAGTGAAACAAAATCAATCAATTCCGAAGGCAAATCTGAACGGATAGAGGTGCAATAAATACCGCTGGAAAGAGGAAAAACCAAAGAACTCAGGTGAATAAAGGCATCAAAAAGATACACAGAAACAAGTTGCTTAAAAGAAATGAAACTGGCGAAAGAGGTAAGAGGTTAGATTGACTAATAAGCTACGTGGAAAAAGTCGATATTGTAGATTAATAAACGACGTGGAATAATACGTCGATAAATGTAGATCGACTGGATGAGAAACTGATAAAATAAAGAAAAACGAAGGTAGCGACATCTAGAGGCAGACCAGAGTGGCCGCGTCAAGTCTGGCGTAGCCACGTGGAGAAGTATAGGCACAGAAGCAAACACAGAGAGAGAAAAACATAGATGAGTAAGACAGGAGAGACGGAGAGCCCAAAGGATTCCGGAAAAAGAGGAAGGCCGGCTTTAGTTGAACAGCTTGGGAAGTATAGGTCGGGCAGCCAAGGATCACTGCTGGACTCTTTTAAAAGAAAAAGAGAAGAAGAAGAAGCAGAAGAAGAAAGAAGAAATGTGGAGAAAGAACTGATAGAAAATTTCCAAAAAGCAAGAAGAATAGGAAGATCACCACCGCAAGAAGCTACGGAAGGAGAAGGAACAGAAAGCGAAGCAACAGAAGGCGAACATAAAGATATAGAAATGGACAAGTTAGACAGATTGACTGAGCTGGTACTGACAGTGAAGAGGGACACACAAGATATTAAGAAAGAAAACGAATCCAAAAATAAGGAAATAAGAGAACTAAAAGAAGAATGGAAAAGAAAGCAAGAAGCGTGGGAGCTAGAAAAAGAAGAAATACAGAATAGAATTAAAAATCTGGAAATTAAAAGAGATAAGGCGGACGAATTAATTGAAAGAATAAACCGTATAGAGCGAAAAGAGGAGGCAAGAGAAAAAAGGGAGAAATGAAACAATATCACACTGAAAGGAGAAGAACTACCAAGAGGCGAAACACCGAAAGATACAGCAGAAAAGGTAATATCAGAAAATTTGCAGGTGAAGGTGGAAATAGAGGATGCTTTCTGGATGAGAAAGGGAGAGAGAGGGAGTATTTTGATAGCAAAGTTAAGAAACTGGCAACAGAAAAAAGAGATAATGATGAAGAAGGGCAAACTGAAAGGTAAGAAAATATGCATTGATAATGATTTAACAAAAAACGAAAGAGATACCCAGAAGGCAATCTTAGGTATTGCGAAAGCGGAGAGAGAGCAGGGAGCACACGTGAAAATAGGATACAGAAAGGTAAGGATAAACGACAGGATTTTCAAATGGAAAGAGGGAGTAGGACTTGAAGAGGCAAAATTTTGGAGCCGACAAAGTTCAGTGACTCTCTAATTTCAGAGAAAGACACCGAGCGAAAAGGGACCGCGACAGAAGATAAGGCTCTAAGTACCACTCCTCCCGCGTCTGAAAAGACTGTTACGTCGCAACTCAGGGAGGCAATTAAAACTACACGGTATCACTTCCACACACGTTAGGTTTATTGAATTAATAACTGAGTTTCGGATAATGGTTCGAATCTCGCTCGAGAACTAACTACTAAGCGATCGTGACCCTTGCTATCAAGTCGCCTGGCGCAGAATGCCCGCCCGGGTGTGGTTTTTTATTATATGTATGAATATGTTGCGCAGTTTCGTTCGCGAAGAAGCAGCCCAGTCGTCGGATTCTTATGTTTCTATGTGTCATCAGTTTCTGGGCTGCCGTACCGTGGGAATAGGGAATGCAGGGTGTTATCTCTGCTAGTCAAGCTAGCAGAGGTTCTCGCCTAACACCCCCTTCCTTATTTTTGATTTTACTTGTGAAATCAAATAGGAGGCACGGTGAAGGAAACGCGATGTTTCTTTCGCCGCGAAGGTTGTGATAATTTATTTTCTTCGGGTGGTAGAGGAGTGGGTTGGAGGTTGCAAGTTTCTGATGCGTTCGCTGTGTATACTACAGATTGGGGCGCTGACCCGTAGTGGTTGGTCCCGTTTGAATTGGTATTAAGACAGTTATTGCGTGTACAGGGTTTAAATAGACAAAATATTAAACGCCATAATTTAAATTTTGAAAATATGTACAATCCTATCATTATGCCTAAGGTTCCTATTAGTGTTTGTAAGATCATCCAGGTGCTTTCGTTTCTGGAGATGCTACGTGTGTGTGTGGAAATCGAATGTGCCTCAGAGATGATTTGGTCGAGTGATTTAGATGCCAATTTCAAGTCGTTGTTAGTTATTAATTCTTTTCGCAGTTCTGGTACGCGTGCATAAGCTTTAACGGTGTCGTCTAATTTCGGTATTGTAATATTGGCGAGGCCTAATTGTAATTGCAATTCGTTGTGATTATTTATAGTTTCGCTAGAGTATAACGTTACGGATGCAGTATGTCCGATACAACCTGCTTTGATTTTAATTTTGTTTACTCCGTTAAGATGGTGTGAGATGACGCGGTTAGAATCCTTGCATGAAACGTGGAAAGAAATTAGATAGTAAGATGCGGAGATCCATTCTTGATTCGAGTATAGTTGTATCCAAATAGGGTTTGTATGTGTAATCATTTTGGCTGGACAATCTTTATGGTCTGCTGGTAAGTTATGTAAGGCACGTTTTATGCATGGATTTGTTAATTCTGTGGAGAGCGAAGGTGAGTGTCGGGCACAGATTCGGAGGTCGGAAATTTCTATGCAATGATCTATATCTCGATCGCTGATTATAGAGTAGCTACGAGAATCTCTTTCGACTAAAATATATTGTTCTTGGGTGTGTAGTAGATAAATGTAATCTTCAGTTATATGTGGGAGTGGTATCATGGAGTACAAGGCGTAAATTTCTTCTTCTACGATGGGGATTTTTAACTCAAAGCAGAGCTTGTATGAGTTTAACACAAAAACGTTAACTTTAGCGATTCGTAAAAATTTATAAGCAAATTCATTTGTGTTAGAAAATATCATACGGCTAGAGCCATATTTTTGCTCGATGGTTCGTAAAATTTCGCTTAGTTGATCAGGTTCTAGTAACAAAGGGTCTATTTTTCCTTGTTCTCCATTAACTACAATTGATCGCAGGTTTTCAATTAATTCGTTATGTTCGGTGATTATTTCGCTTAATTCTAGTAATAGTTCGAGTGTATTCGTGCGTTCATATATTCGCTCTATGTTCGCATTGGTATAATTGTTGATTTTGTTCACGTATGTTGTAATTTTATCTTCAAATATATCTTTGTTTTTCAAAATACTTCGAACAATTGTGATTTCGTTTTGAATAAGGACGCTCAAACGCTTATTGTCTGTGTACAGCTTATCTATCTCGGAGTTATAA